GCTCCTCGGCCGCACCCCCGGCTCCCCCGCGCCGCTGCCGCCGCAGGGGGAAGAGCTGTGAACGCGTAAATGTCCAGGGGAAAATGCCCTGTCCTGCCCTGCCCTGCCCGCGGGGTTTCGCAGGGAGCAGATCCGCGCAGCAGCGAGCCGTGTCGCGGAAGTACCGCGAGTTGCCTTTTGTCTTAGGTCCTCCTGATTTCCTGCTACTAACTCAGTATTCGAAATAGTAGTTGATTGGTTCTGCTTGATTTGTATGCGTATTTAAGTTTTACAAAGGAATATCTGGGCCGGATATAAATTCTTTGGGATTGTTTTGAGAAGTTAGTGTTTACCTTTAAACAAATTTTGAGTGGCGCAGAAATACAGACCCTTCTGTTGTTCTGGATGTGGAGTTTAAAGTAGTGTCCTCGGGAGGGAAGCAAGAGTTTTCAGAAATTTTCTCTTTTAGCTGTCTGATTTCTCTGTGCTTTGATGCTGAGAGAAGGGAGTAAAAGGAGACAATTGATCTGTTATTAACTATAGTCCTTGCATAGTCTCATTTTGCAGACATGCAAGTGGTAAAGTCTCGAGGTCCATCTTCAGGTTTGGGAAATTTGTCCTGGATTTATGGCTAATCTGGCCACGTTCTAAAAACCATTAGAATTATAGAAACGTTTAGAAATTCCAGTGAGCTGCATCCTGTGAGTTTGTGTACCAGAAGATGTGTCTGTTCCTTGCTTTAGGGTTGCTATAAAATCAAATGTGAAAATTACTCTTAAAAGCACCTCTTTAGTGCCTGGTAGCTGGAATTGACATTCAGTTAATGTTTTGTTTGACACAGGGAAGGTGAAATGAGGGTGAAAAATGTAGGCTAACCTTGTTTTGAAGTTGATTTTGACTTTTTGAGATGCTAACAGCTTTCTGTTCTTTGCAAATCAAGTACATTGTTCAGTAAAAATGTTTGACATTGCAATTGTCTGGCAAAGTTACATTTGGTATTTATTCTATTTTAGATGAAGGGGTGCTGGACAAGGACTGAAAATAAGTCTTTGTCTTGGATAGACAGATGCAACCATGGAAATGTCTGGCTTGTAAATATACGTGTGTTTGCCTGAGAACTCAGAGGTGGAAACCTAAATAATAATTTTTGCAAGCAGCCTTTAACTTAATGAATAAAATTATCTTATGCTTTCTGTTGTCCTTCTGTCCCACCCCTGCTGCCAACCCCCTTTTTTAGTCATTTGGGACTGACCCAAGCCTCTGTTTAGCTGTATTGTAAATTTTTATAACTGGCAATTTTTAACAGGCTTCTTAACACTGTTGTACTTGATATTCCAGAATCTACCAGCTAAGGCAGCTTTGTATTAATGGGAGAACTCTGAAAATTATCTATTCTTCTAGGAAAAAAGGATGGAAATACTGATGTTTGACCTCTGGTGCCAGCACTGATATTCTTCAGATACAAACTTAAGTAGGTTTAACCTGCTGTTCTGGAATGGAAACTTGTTCATTAGCCATTGTGAAAGAACAGTGGATTTGAGTGATGTGTTCTCTTCTGTAATACCATATCTTGCCTGTTGAGATATTAAAAAAATATAAAAGGTGTTGTAGAGTACTAAAGTACTAATGCAAATGATTGCTTTCTTAGTGAGAAGGTGAATTCTGCAAGTGGTGTGAGGAGTGTTCCATAAAAGCACCTTAAGCTTAGATAACAGCAGAGCTGTTTTTAAACTCATCTAAGTACAGCAGGTTTATCCCAGTGTGATGAAGTAAGTGCAGGTGGAAATGCTTCTACACTGAAAAGCTGTCCATTTGAAATGAATAGGTGTTACTTGGTGTTTGGTAATCTTCAAAAGTGTGGGAAGAAAACTGTTCAAGTCTTGGAGCAAACCCCTGCTTTAAACTCTCTGAGAACTGTATAGGGAATGCAGTGCAGGTGAGCTCAAGAGGAGCATCTTACAGCCACAGCACAGTGACAGCTTTGGGGGTGATATTTGGGTGTTTTGACTGCCAATTTTGTCCTTAAGAAATGAAGTAATGAGTTAAGATTTTCCTCCGGGTTTATAGTCACCTGTATATTTGCATCAGTTTGTTCCATGCTGCTGGTAACCACTGCATTCCCCTGACTGCTGAGGGCCCCTGGGGAAACTCCCTGGCCTTCATCTAAGTGTCCTGAAACAAATGCATATCGAGCTCTGCACACATTCACTGTTACTACTGATCCAAATGGGATCTGCCCTCCCAGCAAATATTTCAAACCCACTGTTTCAGCCAGCAGGCTGGTGCCCAGGAGTGCCCATACCTTGTATGCTGAGAGCATCATCAGCTTGGTGAGAGGCAGGACTTGTTTCCAAGCAGTGCTTTAGTCAGGACAAACAGGGAGAGCTGGGAGAGCGCTTGCTGGGGCAACTTCTTCACACTGCTGAAGAGCAGCTGAGAGGTGCAGGTGCTGAATGCCTCAAACAAGGGGAGTCTGGGCCTTAAGAGGAACTAGGTTGCTACCTTCTAGAAATTTTATTTCAATTTTCTGGGTGAGGGAAGCAGGGAAATGTCAGTAAAATAGGCTTAAATTGAGATCATTAGTGTTTAATTTGTAGAACTGCAGTTTTACAGAAATATTACTTAATTTTGCTTTCTTAATCAGATTGCATAACTTTAAGCATTGTAGGACATTTAGATCAGGAGAAGAAAAATTTAGATTTGTCATGAAAGGAAAGCTGATCCTACAGAACAGTAAGTGTAATTTGGGTTTCAGCCATGTAAAAAAAATATATATATCTCAGTTAATAAGCAGAATTGGTTGCATTCAAACTTTGTACTTACTGGTGTTCTGCGCTGATTTCTTCTTTGCAAAATACCGTGGTTTCTTGCCTTGATGAATGTTGGTTTTCTTAACACCTTCACTGATAAGTTTACCTGTTTCTGCCAATCTTTAGAGCCAACACAGCCGAGAGCTTCAACTGGTTTGGACTTTTATGTCAACAGAATGGTTTACCATGTTCTGTTACTGGGGATTCCTTGTTGCTGGTGATGGGTGAGCCTGAAAAAATACAGCTTAACTTGTACATCATAGGGTGAGTTCTCCAAAAACATTGTCTTAAACAGTTATCTTTAAAGTGTTTGGGTTGTTTGGGTTTTTTTCTTTTTAAATAGCTTGTAGTTTAGATCTGAACATCTGGACTTTTTCTCAAAATACACACTTATTAATTACCTCCTATAAGAATCTAGAGACACGTCAGGTTTCTTACATTTTGGAGTGAAGTGGTGTAATTGTAATGATAGAACAGGTTGCTCAAGACATTAATTTTAACTGAGGGGTTGATCCTCCTTGTCTGCATGAAATCCCTTCCAGCATAAATTATTTTATGATAAACTGTTCCACAAGCAGTCTTGTTTGGTTTTTATTCTGCATAATACCTCAATTTGATAAGTTAAAGGATGTGTTGCGAGTATGGGAATTACCAGAGTATTGAACTAACACCTTCTGTTATGTTCCTGCAGCTCCTCTTTAGCCCATTGTGCTGAAGACCAGAGGTTCTGCCTCATCAGGAGTCTCTGTTAGCGATTCAAGTTGACTGGAGAATGGAAGGGGTTGAGTTTAAGGAAGAGTGGCAAGATGAAGATTTTCCAAGGTTTTGAATTCTTTTCTAAAGTAATTTAGATGAAACACATAACATCAGCAATAAGCTACCTCTTTGTCTTCCTGGTGAACTAATACTCAGTAATAATCCTGGAGTGATTTCCATTAATTTAGCAGTTTTGAAAAGGTTTTGTGGCAGATTTCTTCAGGATTGGCACTGTTGAAGTTTCCACTGTTTCTGAAATGAAGATTTGTAAGCTTGGCTTTGTTTATTTCCTTAGATAATACTTTGCAACTACATTGTTTGCATATTATTTCCAGTGCCTCATGGCCCAAACAATTAATTAAGCAAAATTTTTGAGGAAAGTTTTTCAAAGTTAATGCTTCTACTGATGCTTGGGCCTACAAAAAAACTAAACCAGCTTTAGATGCATTTATGATAACATGACTAAACTTCTGTAATTTATGTCAAGTCAAATTTTGTCATGCAAGAACATGACAAGCTTTGTTAAGGATGACACACTGGTAGTAGTCAGTGTTTTGGTATTTGTCACAGGAAGGGATAGTCACTTGAATGCTGTAAAGAATTTTCTGCTGCCTTGGTGTTTGTTAACTAAAAGTTTGAACTTAGGCTATAATATATATGTGGGTTTTGTAGTAGGATGTAAGTCTAAATATATGGTACTAAAAAAAAAAGTGAAAGCAGGTTTGTAACAATAATTTCTGCTTTGTGTCCCAGGCCCCTGCCAGAGGATGATCCTGTTGAGTCTGATGCATTGGCTGCAGCTGGAACAGAAAGTGAAGCTGGTAAGAACATTCCACTCCAGTCCAGCTGCTTCCTACTTAAATGGCTGCTTTAAAGCTCTGTGTTGTAGGGAGATTTTTTTTGCTTGTTTTGTTTTGGGGTGGTTTTTTTGTTTTGATAGTTGGGGTTTTGGAGGTTTTTGCATTTAACATTTTTTTGGATTTTGTCTGTCTGCTTAACCTGAGGCATTTCCCGTGCTGGATTGGTAATCTGATTTTATTCCTTTCAACTCCTGTCTAAATCATGCCAGAATTTGACTTGTACCTCAAAGCATTTTGTGTATTCACAGAACAGATTGTTTAATTTTCCATCCTTACTGTTGTCAGTCTTTTTTTTTTTTTTTTTTCAGTTTGTGTATTATTTTCGATTTTATCAAAGATGGTTATGATGTCACTGAAGCCTAATAAAAAAGCAAGTGCTAGGGACATGAATCTCTTGTATTATATGCAAGGTTTATTCAATGTCCTGGGACACTTGGATGCTGCAGGCAGTATGGTTGGTGTCTGCACCCTTCTCAGATTGTGCATGTGCAAGTGGGTAACTTGAGAACTTTCACCTGCTGTTCTTTCCAGCCCCTGTTAAAGTCTTACTCCAAAGATACCGTGTTTAAATTATGGGCATTAATTTATAATGCATTATTAAAAAGGACTGTGCTCTTCTGTCTTGGTAATATGCTTATCTGAACTTGCTTTAGCTTTGAAAATAAATAATTTGCTTTCTTTAGATACAGAGGGTAATGGAACCAAATTGAGGAAGAAACTAATGGCTCCAGATATTAGCTTAACTTTGGATCCCAGTGGGGAATCTGTTTTTTCTGATGACTTGGATGAGAGTGGAGAGATTGATTTGGATGATTTAGATACTCCTTCAGAAAACAGCAATGAATTTGAATGGGAAGGTGAGTATTTTGGTCCTTTTGTCTGATGCTCTAAAATATTTTTTTATGTGCAGGTCGACTGTTCCTCTCAGAAGAAATAGCTATGACTCAATAGTACAAGAGGAGAAATGCAAAGGGACTGATTAGATTAGGAATTAGAAATAGGTGCAGTGACTTTTTAAAGAGCAAATCAGACCTCATCTGATTAGTATATAGGCAAACAGTTAATAGCTGTAGTTGCAGATAAACTTAGGGGAAGATCATCTACATATACATCTATAAGACTTGAAGTCATGGAAAATCCTCTATTGCAGTAAGTTTTCAAGAGCCATCCAACAGAATAAAGTAGCCAAGGTGTTTTACATGTGTGTTAGAAAAGAATTTTAAATATAGAGAGCCAAACAAAGGGATGTAGATTAGCTATTCAGAAATTGATGAATTGTAATTTAAGGAGGACTGAATAGTGTTTTTAAAAATACTAAGTAACGCCTGGTCTCAAATCTTCCTGTGGTGAGAATGGCAAAAGCCCAGTAGCCTTAGAGTATGCATATTTCCAGATTGACTAGAAGCAGCAGAAGAGCCTCTATTTTATGTCACAGAATTCTGAAATGACTTCATAGGAAGTTAAAGTAGTTATAGCCACACTAGTACTGATCTCTGTTTTAAGACATTAATAAGTGTTATATCTTACAGGCAAAACTTGGAGATTCTGACAAATCTTATCTGAGATAAACATTTTGTGTAGGACTTCAAGCACAAATTTTAGACTTGGAGTTTAATGATGTTTTAAGGCTCTCTTATGGAAGCCAAGAACAGTTGTGCTGGGTAAATTGTTGGGGTCTTTAACATCTGTGAACTTGATGGTTTAGGAATGTCTCTAATAAGTAAACATGTAAAGTCAATTACTGTTTTCTCATCCTGAAAATAAAATAATTTTAATTCCAGAATAAACAGGAAGTTCTGTTTTCACTGTTATGTTTGAAATGCTGTGGAGAAGGAAACACTCTATAGAATAAGGGGGTGGTTTTGGTTTTTAAATAGCTAAAAACATATTGCAGGGGAAATTTTCTTAGCAGAGACTGTGTTTAACTTTGTAAAAGGATTTTCATTGTTTTAATGAAGAAAAATTGGTATTTAGGGGTAGTTTTGCAGTGATGCGAAGGAAATGTTCCAGATGTTTGTGTTTTGTTTTTAAAAGTGGCTGAAAAGGGTTTCTGTCTTTTCTTCCTTTAATGCTGCTGTCTTCACTTTCCTGGAAGGATAGTTTCAATTAACAGCTTTGTCTTGGGAACAGACAACTAACTTGCAGTAGGTTTTTCTCGCTTTGGGTAAGGTCCATGCAACAAAGTCAAGAATCATTATTTATTGGAGCAAATTGTCTTACAGATTGCTGTCAGCACAAATTTCATACATTGTGATTGCACACGTGAATTACATTTAATTTTCAATAGATTTGCCTGCATGTCTGCTTGTAAGGTACCTCAATGTTTTGAATCATGCTTCATGTAAATCTGTGATTAATTTCTGTAATTCTCATTAGAGTTAACCACTTTGTCTATTTTGGTGAATTTCACTGAGGTCTGTGTTCTGAAAGCCTACAATTAATTAAGCTTCCTCCATGAATGGAGATTTTTCACATACTTGTAATAGAGAAAATGACAGTCAAGAGATAACTGTCAACATGAATATGTTAAGAAAATATCTATGACATCAGCCTTTGTGTTTGACTGGCTAAAGAATACCAAAATAGATTAGATAGCAAAGTGGTTAACTTGTATTGTAGCTGATTGTCACTATGCATGGTATTCATAATGGGTCTTCAACGTGTTCTCATTCTCACAGATGATCTTCCAAAACCAAAAACTACTGATGTCATTAGGAAAGGATCACTGGCTGAGTACGCTGTGGCAGAGGAGAAGGATGATGGTCGGCGCTGGAGAATGTTCAGGATCGGGGAACAGGACCACAGGGTGGACATGAAGGCAATTGAACCGTACAAAAAAGTTATCAGTCATGGTGGTAAGGATTGGTGATGTGCTCAGGGAACTGCTGAGCAACTACTTTTTTAAGCTGAGTTGGGGAGGAAGAGCTTTGGGCATAAAGACTTGCGTTAATTTGTTGCAGTGTTAAGACATGGATGATATAATAATTTTTTTCTGTATTAAACTAAAGTTTCAAAATGTACACATGGTCACATGTACTAAAATACATCTTTGGAATAAGATATATTTACTCCATCCTACAGTGTCACTGCTACGTAGTTTTTTGGCTTCTAGACTATTGAAAACATTAACTATCGATCTACTAAGGCAGAAATCAAATCACGACTCTTTCCAACAGTCTGTGAAGTTTAGGTTGGAAGAAAAGTTGACTAAACTTAAATAACATAAGATATTCTTAAATATACTGAGGTTCTACACCGAAACAGTGGTTATAGATGCAGTGTTTGACTGACATCAGCTTCAGCTGTTGCTTTAAACATAGACAATCTTGAAAAAGAAACCTTGATGTTTTCTGTAACTGTATGAATGTGTCCATATGGATCTTTGTACATCTTTAAGGTAAATAATGAAAAAGCTTACTGAATGTGATTGACTTTGTGTAAATGTAGTCAGTGTATTGTCACCTTTGACACTACTGCTACTTATTTCTTTGTTTTTAGGTTATTATGGTGATGGGTTAAATGCCATTGTTGTGTTTGCTGTTTGCTTCATGCCTGAGAGCAGCCAGCCTAACTACAGATACCTAATGGACAATCTATTTAAGTAAGTCATTATCTGCCTTTATGGGTTTTTGTTATTTTTAATATATCTGTGCACTACTAGGAATTACTTTCAGATTAAGGTTCTGGATATTGAAGTTTTCTTTTTTTGTCCCTCCAGGTATGTAATTGGCACTTTAGAGCTGTTAGTAGCAGAGAACTATATGATAGTTTACTTGAATGGTGCAACAACACGGAGAAAAATGCCAAGTTTAGGATGGCTTAGGAAATGTTACCAGCAAATTGACAGAAGGTGAGAAGCACTGCAATATTTTATTAAAATATTCACATGCTCAGACATAGACATATTTGGGAAAAACTGCTGATTAATGTGTCTGCTCCCTTCTGGTTAAGATTTGATGAAGGAAATTGGTGTATTGAAAACCTCTTCCTAAGCTAGACAATGTGCTACAAACATGCCTAGGTAGTGTTGTGTGGTGGATTTTTTTGGTTGGTTGGGGGTTTTGTGCACACTTTTGTTGTTATTGTTGTTGTTCTCAGGGTGGTTTTTTTTAGTGAAAATAGTATTCTTAGAATACTGAGTATTGTTATAGAATTGTTATTGTTGTAGAATATCCTTAACACTTCATGTATTAACACAAGGCAATAAGGGGAGCCCTTTGTGAACCACTTCATCCTTAGTTATATAAAAAGATTCAAAGAAGCTTCTCCTTGGAATGTTACTTCCTTGTCAAATTGATACTGAATCTTTAGTTTTTGTCTTTGTGTAGTATTTTTTCTTCTGATGGAGGTCTAATAATGGGATGTCAGAACACTGTTTATATGACAGCTGTGCTTCTAGAAGCACAACTTATATATTCCAAAACCCCTGGTCATGCTTTTTGTTCTAGTAATTATTCATTGTTTAAATCCTTCAGATTAAAGAAAAATCTGAAATCATTGATCATAGTTCATCCTTCCTGGTTCATCAGAACACTCCTGGCCATCACAAAACCTTTTATTAGGTAATACTCTGGAAGCTTTTTCATAAATAATTCTGACAACTGTTTAATCTAAACTTAAAAGACTGTTTTAATATTAACCTAGTGAAAAACATTTGGAGTTGTAACTACCCTGCATTTGTTCTTCCACAGCTCAAAATTCAGCCAAAAAATTAGGTATGTCTTCACCCTGGCAGAACTAGCTGAACTGATCCCCATGGAATACGTTGGCATCCCAGAATGCATAAAACAGTACGTTTTATTATTCCAACATCTTCTGCATTGATCATGGTTTAGGACTGGGAGATGTTGTAATCAGTGGTTTAAATGTAACACTTGGCACATAATGACTTCACTGAGATCACTGCTGTCTCTAGGAGTGTCCATGTTTGACCTCATTTCTAAAGGCAGTTTTGTATGGAGTAGCAAGGATAGCCAAAATGTTAATGTATAGTCATTTTCCCAGTGGAGCTTTGTGCAATTGCTTAGTTGTGGTGTGAATTAAGCCTTCTAGAGAAGGTCTCATTCCAGTTCTTCTGCACCTTAGTGTGTATATGAAACTGGTTTGTGAGTGAGAAATTGTGGGCATGTTGATACTGAAGTTATTTATAATGTCTTCTGAAGTGTTTTAATTAAAATGTGGAACAATTTAAGTGCTGAAATATCACTTGGATTGGTTTTCATTTAAAAGAAAAGCAGCGATGGGAAAATGCTTAATCCTTACCCCCTGCCATTTTAAACTACTTTGGTAAAGAAATAACACTGCATCAATGTAATTTTTTTCCCTTCCCATCCAGATACAAATACCCATTTTAACATCAGCACAGATCTGCTCACAAATAAGATGATGATCATTTTGTCAAAAGCATTAGTGAATGCAGTAATAGAGTAGAAACCATAAATTTGGGTCTTAAGAAAACCAGATGAAAACAGTAACAATCCTGATGAGAGCCTTTTAGAGGTGTAACACACAAACCCTGTGTTGTCTGCATTGTAACAGGTGAGCAGAAACAGGGGGAAGGTGGCCCAGTGTCACTGAGCACACACAGGAGCACATCCATGCTGGACAAAGCCTCATGCCCCCTGCAGATAGCTGGTTATTTTAATAGACATGCAGCTGTTGTTTTCATGGCATGGGAGTGAAACACATCACAAAGCTGAGGCAGCCTTGTGCTGTCTTAAATTTTTCTTAACTGTTTTTTTTATGGGTGTGTTATGAATATTCAGACGGTCATTCTGAGTTTTAACAGACTCATCTATGTATTGATGAACTTTTAACTGTTCTGCAAAGTCTGGACTTGGTTAACTTAAAAGACTTAATTCTCAGATTTCTGTGGAGGATTATATCTGGTTTCAAACTGTTATGGATACAGACTTTAAATTTTAGTTATGAATGCTAACACTGTACAGGAGCTGTGCAGTGTATTGAATTCATTTGTTATGTCATAGTAACTAAATCTTAATGGTTTTTCTTTAATGCAAATAAATGTTGGAGATACAGTGTATTTTTTTCTTAATTATATCAGTTTCAAAATTTGGTAAGTTTCTGCAAATTCTATTGACACTAATACTGGTGTGCAGCTTCTGTTGATTTTGGCCTTCATATGTTATATTTACTGAAATAAAACTTTTCCTCACCAAGGTATGAAGAAGAAAAGTTTAGAAAGAAACAGAAAAGGTATATCCATATTTTGATTAGGGTTGCATCTAGATAAGATAATTTGCATTGCAACTAACTCCCAGCTGATGGGCTTGCATAAAGGAATAAGCATTTGTAAATATAAACACGCACTAGTGCCCAGGTTTTTACTCATGACTATACTGTACTTGCAGGCAGTATGGAATCTGTAAGAACTCACCCTGGGTGTTCGGGCAGCTATTTGTGAATAGTTTCTATTACACTTTTATGTGAGATGCTCACTTTTAAGGGGATACATGGGTTCTCAACTTGAAGTCTTTAAGAGGCAAAAGTAGTGCTCCTGTATGAACCCATTAAATAAGATGTCATTGTTTCTAACAGGAATTATGTCTGGAGATGATCTATTTAGGTGCTAAGCTGTAGCTATGCATTAGCAGAGATGCAGCTCTGTAAGGAGTTCTAATATTAAATCTTTTGGTTTTGGTATTCACTACCTTTTTAGTTATTAACTTGCATAGATACAATCTAAATTAGTATTTTAGTGCTGTTTGTATTTGCAGTGCCTATGTTCCTTCCTAATAAATACTGGATTTCCACTTTGTTAATTTCCAGTCTCCTGCTAACTATTCAAGCTATTCCACAGCTGATGATTTTTTTTAATGGATATGTTATTTTTTCACTCACTAACAAATATACTGAAAGACTTTGCTACTAACTGTTGCTTTTTTTTAAAATTACTTTTCCTTTTTGTGCTTAACTATTATGGAAGACATTGTCTAAATTGGGTAGAGGAACACTGAGATGGAAATAAAAGGAATTTAAATTATTTCTGGAAGCTCAGATGTAAACCTAGTGATGTGTTGAACATTCTTTAGGAAATTACTTAGGAATTACTCCAATTAAGCGATAATTTAAAAAATCTCCAGTAGCACAAACAGTTTTTAGTGCCCTTGTTGATAACATCACCTATACTACCATCACTTTTATAAAAGTAGTATGTTCTTCAGTGAAAATTAGATACAGAGATCACAGGCAGAATTGGATACTGAGCCTTTAATCAGGTAGAAAGCAGCTCTTTTTTATGGGTTCATGGCTCAAAGCAACTGTCACTGTTTCCATCATTTTGAAAACCTGGCTAGTTATAGTTTGAGAGACAGGACAGGTATGTTAGATTGTTAGAGGACAAACTTGGTCTTAGTCTCTCACTTTAGAACTGCTGTTGGTTTTAAAATTAATTTGCCTCCATGTACAATTTATTTGCCAGAAGATGTTATCAAGATTGTAGGTTGTTCTTCCTAGAAAAACAAGAAGTACATTTTGTGCAGGGCTTTGAATCGTCCCCTGGTTTCTGCAAAGCAGTATTTTGTTTGCTGGTTCCAAGGCAGATGTTAAAAAATAAGGTACAAAATCAAACCCACTGATAGAATCAGCATGATGGTGAATTTTTCCAGGGTAATTGCAAGAGTCTTAGAACATAATAGAAAAAGTATTGCAGTTAAAGAGCCTCTTTACTTTTGTTGATTAACTAGTACCCTCTTGGCTTAATTACTGTAACATTAAAGGTAATTCAGTCATCAGGATGGTAGCACTTGCCAGTATTGTCACGTTACCTGTATTGTATTTCCGCTTGCATTTGTTGCTATGAGCACAGGCCATGTTTTCTTCTTCTGTGGTCAGACTTCATCTGCACTTCTAAATGCTTCCTCTCAAGTGCTCTAGTTACTTAAATGGTTTCCTAACAATTCAAATTAATTTTTAGGGGGTGGTAGTAAAATAGGTATTGAAAAGAACCCAAACATCATGACTACATTAAATAAAAACCTTCATTTAATATTTATTTACTAAAACCTTTTCCATGTAAAAGCTTTGTTTTTTTTCTGTTAAGGTTAATAGTTTTTTCTTAATAATATCAGCTATCAAACTATGTTAACATAGTTTAATTTCACTGCTTTCTTTGCTAAGCAGAGTTGACCAAGAGCTGAATGGAAAGCAAGAACAGAAAAGTGAACAGTAAGTTTGGAGTCCAAACAAGACTGAAGAATACGCAGATGGAACATTGCCATTTGTGCTCTATTACAGTGCATTCTCTGTGTCTGTGTATTGTATAATCTGTTGCAAAAGGTGCTTTGGACTAGCACCCAGTGAACTGCTTACTGCTGTATTGGTTTGTCTTGACTTTAGTTGCTGTTTATGTAATCGTTTTATACTGCTAAATGGCAAAGAACCCTATGTTTTCAGAGGATGTTCTTGCAACTGTTTATCTAAATGATGCATGTTCTTCAGTAAAATATTTATATACCTAAATGTTAAAGGAAAGAGATAATATATATATTTTTATGACTGAGCAATATATTGTGTGTACCTGCTGAAGGAATTCATTTGCAGGTAGACAAGGCTATAAGTTACTTGTTATTGTATAAATCTGTTTTGCTGTAAATGGTCAAGTGCATTTCTTTGTTGTCATGAAAACTTGTTTGGATGTTAACAATCACATAACTTGGCTTTCACAAATACAGAGATCCTTATTTTTGTTCACTTAACCTTATAGAAGCTCACTCCTTTACCTCAGTGAGCTTCAACTTTGGTGTCTTTCAGTCCATCATTCAGGATGCAGAACTGCAGCTCTGTGCGTGGCAGTTGGCCATGAGGTTTAAGCCTAAGCCACAAAAGCTGAACTGTCTGACTGGTAAGATACCAGACCTTCTTCAGCTGAAGTTGTGAATTTAGATTCTGCTTCAGTACGTCAAGACTGTCTCAGCTAGAAGTAGGAAATTAGTTCACTGCAGTTCTTCATGGATGAATCTTGATTGTTACTGGTAGGAACTCTGTCATGCTCTCTGGTTCATGGTAGTACTTGGGAGCCACACAGCTATTCTAGCCACAACACCATTTTTTGGGGCAGAAATATGAGAAGTCTTACACTACCTGTGTCATTCTTGTAGATGAAACATCCATTTCTAAAGCTATTAGGCACATGATACCAGCACTAATTGAACTTTTAAGATGTGTTTTAAAGGTTGGGGTGTTTTCATTCCCTGCAATGGTGGTAAATCCGTGTCTGTAAATAGGTTTTCTTGGACACACAACTAGTGTGTTTAGGTTTACTGGGATAACAGTAATGCACTGGTTGATACCTTGTAAAAGTTTGTAACATCTTTTGATAAACATTGCATTTTTCATGTAAGGGCAGGTGTATGCAAATAAATTCATTCAGGAGTTGAGCAATATAATGTTGTAGCAAATATATTAAATCTTTGCTTTTGGTGTTTATTGTGTTCACAATTTTGTTCCAATGCCAAAAAGTAACACTTTTTAACTATATTTAATGTTACTCAGTTACCTTATCAGAAAAAAAAAAAAAAGTTATGTTCAACCAGATTTCTACCTGAAACTGATAAACAGCAGTTGTGAGATATTCCATGGTCAAGACTTACCAAGTAACAATTAATCCACTGTCTCCAGTGATACCTGTATAGACTGAGAGCATGTGGATGTCAGGTGAAGGAAATCCGCTCATGTCTCTGGAAGTTTGTTTAAATCTGCAGTTCAGATACTTTCATCTCAAGCTCTTAAGTCCTTTTGTTGCAGTAGTTTCTGTATCAAGAGTTTCAAGGAGATTGACAGGCAGGGTGTGTTCACACAACAGTACCAATGCCAGGTTACCTTGCATCCATTCCATCAGGTTTGAAACTTGCTCTGAAAGCAGAAGACAAATGCACTTTCTTTGGGGCTGTCTTATGTCCTGCTTCAATTTGGATGTTGACTCAAATTAATGTAAAGTTCAAGTCAGTACATGGAGCACTTGCAGCCTATTTACTTGCGATACTTTCACAGTGTGGTCTGTACAACCATGCAAATCTGATTTTTACTGGGTTTGCATGTGTCCTAAGCTAAACAGGAAGCATTCTGATTATCTCATTTCCATTTTCTCCTAATTGATAAAAAGATTAGTCGCGGTAAAATTATATTCTTAGTGGAGGGACTGTAATTCTCTATGTCCTGTGGCTTCCTGTGTGTATAGTGCAGTACAGAGTTCCTCTGTATATGCCACATTTACCAAATGATGGGATTGTTACTGTGTTTCCTGGTCACCAAGGATTCTGCAGTTTCCTGCTGCAGTAATATGATTTCTTTTGGAAATGTGTATGTGCTTATAAATGGTTTATTTCTCTAGTAGAAGTTGTTGTGAATGAGTATACAGCACAACAGTTGTTCTGTCTCTAAAGATTCGTAGCTTGAGAAAGAAGTGTACTAAAGAATTACTCCCCTCTGACTTCCTGCAGTTCATCATTTAGTGGTGAGGTGGGTGTTTACAAAAAGCAAAGTGGTCCCAAAGCTATGGATAATGTTTTTTCAAACTTAACTTTTTTGAAATTTATAATATAATGTAATATATTTTAATATTTAAAAACCTGAAAAGTTGGAATGTCATACTTTAATAAAAATTATTTCAAAACTTGAATCACTTTGTGATAAGATACAGTGTTGTAGGGAATTCACCTTTCAATGGCACTTCCTTCTAAAACTAAGAGTAATTTTGCTAGAATTTGGTGAGCCCTGACAAGAAAAAATTTCATGAGCCACTGATTTACCTCTGATTTGGAGGTCTCATTATATATATTTATACATGTATTTAAGAAGTCATTACCTATCTCATTATTGCTGTGCACAACTGAATTAGAGACATTTGGGCCAGTGGCCTCTCGATGTGACATTTCCTAATGATTTCTGCAGGGAAAATCCAGAAGTGGCAAAGAGATTCTGGAGAAAATGTCATTAAAAACTGGTGTGAGCAGACTCTGGATTTGCTTGAATGTTCTTATCTGTGTAACATGGCAGAGACATGCTCTGTTGGAGGGTAGTGGGAAGGGATGTATAATGATTTAGTGCTGAAGCAGATTGAAGTCATTGAGGTTCTGGGATGTTGAAATGAAGAACTTTTATTTCAAAAAGCATCAAACTAGTTAGAATAACTAGTAACCTTGTTCATAACAACGCAGTTTGGCGTATTTTTTTCCTTTAGTCTCAGTAAGCAAGTGAAAAACAGTCCCAGCTGCTGTGAGGAACATTGTACTGAGAGACAGTAGGTACACTCTAAATTGCACTCCACTAAGATATTAGTGCCTGTATCTGTTCCAGCAACTTTGTTGCATCAAACCCTAAATTCTCTAATGAGAGTTTAAAACTCTCAGTAGTTAATTGTGTCACACTTCAAGGTTAGATCACAGGTGGTAGCAATGAAATCTTTTATGAAATGGCCTCAAAATGTGTCATGGGGAGGAGAAAAGGTGTCCTTGGTGCCTGGTCACATCAGCTTCACTGATGCTGTCTGCTGAAATGTCTGTAGTTGACTGAAAAATATTGAACTACATTGTGAGTAGGCACTTTATTAACTAAATCTGCCACAAGGGAGAAAGTTTCGTGGTTAAAAGCGTCTTTCTTTCAGTGTTAAAGTTTTGTCAGTGTATCCTACAGATTTATACAGTATTTAGTATCTAGAAAGATGGTTTAAATGCACATCTTCTCAAAAGCTGTTGTCTTTCGAAATTATTTGAATTCTCAGGTCATTCCAGTCTCCCTCAAAAGCCTCATATGAGGAATGGAGAGGGATAACAGCTTGCATGTTTTTTGTAACCACAGAAGCCTGACAGATCTTGCAGTCAAAATTCTTACTCAGTCCTTGTGGATGGAGATCATTCCCTAGAGGATTTGTTCCACTGACTGCTTGCCAGAGACACTTGAAACAAGTGCTTTAATTATACTTTTTAAGGACACCTGGATTGAGAGTAACACTCTGAAATGTAAGGAATATTTAAATATTCATATTCTGAAAGACATATCTTGCAGCTTTTTTAGCTTCAAAATTCTAAGTTGAACTACACTGTTTCTTTTATCACATCTAATTACCCATATTAAACTAACATGAAAAAAGGGCATTTGTGAAGAGGGTGCAGTCGTGTTAGTTTTTCATTCCCTTCAAGCATGAATGGGATCAGTGAAATTAAATCTATCCTTTGCTCAACAAGATTTTTTTCAGTTTTGCAACTTGAACTGCCCAGATTACTCTGATCTACATGATGTTTTTTATATTAAAAATATAAATTTAAAATAAAAATATTAAAATAAAATATGAAAGTATTAAAAATGATCTGAAGTTATTGGAGTGTTTTCCAGAAGTCCTTGTCTTACCATGTTCCTTACTCTAGCTTGCTCAACTGCTAGTTAATACTGGTAGCATGGAATTCCAGGTTAATAATTACAAATAAATATTCATAAAGGACAGATGTTTAGTTTACCAGTGGCTTTGCGGTTCTGCAACGTTTCTTAGTAATGTAACAAAACCTTTCAATTAACAAGAAAGACCTGAGCAGTAAGGTGCTCTAATGGTTGAATGGTAGATTGAAGGGTTAAGATAGAATGATTAAGCTGTCAATTAGTGCCTGTAAGGTTTATTATCTTTGATAACGGGAAACGTGCCGTGTTTAACAAAGTAAAGCTGCACAAATCATCCAAAAGCACAGGTTGCAGAGTCACAGACTATAGACCTGGCTTAGCTGGGCTAGTAACACTCTTCGCAGATGTGACTATTTTCCTTTATCCCTTTAACAGAAAAGATAGAAGTAGAAGACTCTTAACCTACCTCTGAGTGTGCTCGCGGTGTGAATGTGAGCGTGCCCACAGTATGAGTGAGTGTGCCCGCGGTGTGAGGATACCCGCGATGTGAGGGTGTCCGCAGTGTGAGTGTGCCCCCGGTGTGTGTGTGTGTGAGTGTGCCCGCGGTGTGAGGGTGCCCCCGCTGTGAGGGTGCCCCCGCTGTGAGGGTGCCCGCGGTGTGAGGGTGCCCGCGGTGTGAGGGTGCCCCCGCTGTGAGGGTGCCCGCGGTGTGAGGGTGCCCGCGGTTTGAGGGTGCCCCCGCTGTGAGGGTGCCCGCGGTGCGAGGGTGCCCCCGCTGTGAGGGTGCCCCCGCTGTGAGGGTGCCCCCGCTGTGAGGGTGCCCGCGGTGTGAGG